GTTAAAAATAAGGCTACGTAATCATAATATTAAAAATCCTGGGAAGTGACACTCATGACACGTGGCTTGCATGGTGAGAAAGAAAGACAGCCTTGTTAGCTGGATATGAAGGATATTGAGAAAAAGGGAACTTGTATGGGAGAAACAGCATTCTTTAATTGCTTAGAACAGCATGTAGAAAATAGGAAAAGGAGGTGTTCTGGCTGAATATGTACGATGTCTGTTGGCTGAATGGGAGGAATATGTCTAAATGGAAGACATATTCTAACTGGCTAACTGAAAACAAGAGAAGCATAGTTATTTACTAAAATGACAATTCAATGTAAATTACAACTTTAAAGCCAGATGCTTGGAAATGAAAGCATTTATATTGATTTACTTTTTGATATTTTAATATTATGGAAAGATATTTTTAAAAATGTATCTAACAATATTAAATTTGAAAAGCTCGAAAATATTAACGCAAGGCCTTAAAGATGTTTTACAGTTTGGCTATTTTTACTGTGAGTTCTCACTTTTGTGAATAACCCTATGTGTATTAATTAGGGGAAGGTGGTCAAATTAAAGGGTGGTTTGATGGACAAATGGGTGAGAGAGGTAGGAAAGATAATTCAGTGGACAGAGGTCACTATATAACTGACAGCAGAAACATATGATCGAATTGAAGTTTTCATCATTTTAAATAGCATCTATTTGTTTTTGTATAGTTAAAGGACCACTATAGTGCCAGGAAAACATACTCGTTTTCCTGGCACTATAGTGCCCTGAGGGGGCCCCCACCCTCAGGGACCCCCTCCCGTCCGGCTCTGGGGAGAGGAAAGGGGTAAAAACTTACCTTTTTCCAACACTGGGCAGGGAGCTCTCCTCCTCCGATCCTCCTCTGTTCCTCTCATTCGGCTGAATGCGCACGCGCAGCAAGAGCTGCGCGCGCATTCAGCCGGTCGCATAGGAAAGCATTTACAATGCTTTCCTATGGACGCTTGCGTGCTCTCACTGTGATTTTCTCTAGCGGTTTCTCTGAAACTGCTATGTTTATAAAAAAATGGGTTAATCCTAGCTGGACCTGGCACCCAGATCACTTCATTAAGCTGAATTGGTCTGGGTGCCTAGAGTGGTCCTTTATAGATTTTTTTTAAACCTAAACCATATAAGGTCTTTTATTGTCTTTTACATTGCCAACACTGCCACCTGTTGGCTTAAGTGTGTATTTTTTTTTTTCTTTAAGAGGAATTCTTAATAATAATAAAATAAATTGCTACAGTTGCAGGAACCCTTGCTTATAATTTAATTCATGACTCACTCCTAGTTACTAGTGGTCCAGAAGACACCTCCAAAGGTTTTGTTTTTGTTTTTTTGTTAACTCTTTGTTTACTGGCACCCTATATAGCTAATGGGGAAACGTATGGATTTCCCTTGGATACATTAAAGGTCTTTATG